GCGTCCAGCCGTGCCGTGCCGTGCCGTGCCGTGCCGTGCCGAGGGGCTGCACTGTTGGCCGGAGTGCCCCAGGTGGGTACGGCTGTGGGGGTTCACTGGATCGGGGCGAGAGGGGGCCTCTCCCAGCAGCGCCGGCGGCTGCTCGGTGGGATTTGCATGAATCCGGCGGATTTAGCTCAGCCCTTCCTACACGAAGTTAAATCCTGTCCTTAGTTTAACCCCTTTGAACAAAATCAACCTGCTCTAAAAACATAGTTATTTCCTTTTATTTATTTACTTTTTTAAATTTTAAAACTCCAGCTTTTGCCAATAGCCTGCAGGGGACATGACGTGCTTGGGCAGTGACTTCTGCACTGTCAGGGTTTTTTCTCAGGCTGGGAAGTGTCTCCGGGGCAGGGTGGGAAGGGCACAGGGAAAGCGGGATGAGGAGGCTCCAGCCACCTCCGTGCAAATCTCGGGCAGCGTTTCCACTGCCCGCAAAATGCCGCGTGCCCTCCGCCGGCTCTGTCCGCTCTAGCTCCCCACGGTGTGAGGGGAAGAGGTGTTTTCTTCCCCGAGGAGTTCTGTCTGTCCACATGGGAAGTTTTGGGGGGGAATCAGCTTGGGATGCGGGGCTGTGCCCGGTGGGGGGGATGCTCTGGGGCCCTGGCAGTGGCTGTGATGCCTCCCCAGCACCCCGGCACCCATGGAGGACGGCGGCACCCGTGGAGGTGCGGGGGCCGTCGGCTTTGAGGGAGCCCTCTTCTCCGGCTACGCACCCGACGGGGGCCTCTTCATGCCCCAGCACATCCCCTCACTGGACGGGGACACCCTGCGGAGGTGGAGCCGCCTCTCCTACCGGGAGCTGGTGAAGGAACTCTGCTCCCTCTTCATCACGGCCGAGCTGGTCCCGCGGAGCACGCTCAATGGTGAGCCCCAGCTGTGTGGGCAGCTGCTCACAGGGGTGTGCTTGAGGATTTTGGGGCGTTTGGATGCATCTGCCTGCCTTCGCCTCATCCTCTTCACAGCCCCCAGAGGATGGAGCCTGCTGCACCATTGCCTGCTCCTTTCTGTAGCCCATTCTCCTCTGTGACCTTGCTGGGACTTGTCACCTTCTGGAAAAGGTGTCCCCTGTATGCAGATAGGGATTCTGGAGACTGCAATAGCGATGGCTGGTGCCGTGGCCCTGCTCACTGCTGGGGGACACTGCTATGCTGCTGGGCTCCAGACCTGCTCTCCCACCAGGGCTTTCTGCTGCTCCATGCTCTCCCTGAGATCTGATTTTTAATGTTTTTAACATTTAACAGCTATCCCTTCCAGCAGAGGGCACCTACAACCTCTGTTTCAATGGCGTGTTATGATAAAATTCAGGTTTCCTGTGTTTTATATTTTAACACAGTTTGCTCTGATTGTGCTGGGTATCCCCTGGGTTTACTTGCCATAGAGCTATTGAAGACAGTAAAGCTGAGCTGGTTTACTCCTGATAACTAAGAATAACTTGTTGGATGTCTGTCACCTATCATCCAGCAACTGAGAGTCTTTGGTTGTGCAGAAAGCTTCCCAGGAGCATAAAGAGCAGAGACGCAGGAAGCCGCAGGTCAGAAAAATACTCCTCTACCCAATCTAACAGCCCCTTTAACCATTTTCCCTCTAGACCTGATTGACAGGGCCTTCAGCAGGTTCAGACACAAGGATGTCGTCCATCTGTCCAGGCTGAAGGACGGACTGAATGTTTTGGAGCTCTGGCATGGGGTTACTTATGCTTTCAAGGATCTGTCCTTGTCCTGCACGGGGCAGTTCTTACAGTACTTCTTGGAGAAAAAGCAGAAGCATGTCACTATTCTGGTGGGTGAGTATGCCTCTTTCTGGGGGGTGAAACTTCTGGGCAGGTCTTTACCTTGAGAGCCATCATCCAGCCCTCCCCATAGATGCTGTGGGGTGGCTGGTGAGCAATGTCCAGGCAATGCCAGGGTGGCTGCTCTAGCCAAAAACATCTCATGGAGCACCTCTGCATCTTTTTCTTAAGGTGCAGCAGTGCAGGTTTGACTGATGCATCAATTTTTTTGCTTTTCTTGGTTCTCCCTCACTTTGAAACAGGGACTTCAGGGGACACGGGGAGCTCGGCCATCGAGAGTGTGAGAGGGCAGAAGAACATGGACATCTTTGTTCTGCTGCCCAAGGGGTTCTGCACCCAGATACAGGAACTTCAGATGACCACTGTCATTGAAGACAATGTCCACGTCTTTGCTGGTTGGCATTGCTGTTGGACTGTCTGCTTTATGGCCCTGCTGTGTCAAAACCATGACCCTAAAAGTCTCAGGGGGCTGCTGCTTTAGCAGCTGCAGCCAGCCAGGTCATTGCCATCATGGTCACCGTGCCCAGACATCTGGCTAACTGGAGCCTGTAGCAAATGTCCAGTTTGATGACGAAGTGGTTCAAGGCTTCCTTTTCTCCTGGACACAGATCAGAGCTGCCCCCATGCAGGCGGTTGGTGTTTAGCTGCACTGAATTCAGCACCATTTCTTGGCACTAAAAGGATCGAGAGTCACCCCTTTCCTCTGTTTCTCACCTTCATGGGTGGTCCATCCCCTATTGCTGTGCCGTCCCCATGGTAGGGATCACCATGGGGTGCTTGAGCTGTCCCACGGACTCCTCTGCTCAGCCAGGTGTCCCCTTGGCATCTCACGGGGTGTGCAGGCATTTGACTTCCTGGCAAATATATACTGGGTATAAGCAAGGACCCAGAGTGCAATGTCTGCAGAAACCACCCCACATCCACGTGGTGCTACTCAACCCCCGGCTCGTACAGCCCCCGAGGCAGACGGGCAGCTCAGGACGCCCCTGGCCGCAGCAAACCCCAGGGCTCGAGACTGGCCGTGTTTCTGAGCAGAAATACTTTGTGCCTGATGCGCTGATGTTGGCAGATCTAATCTTTCCTTTCTCCTTTTGACAGCTCATGGGAACAGCGATGAAATCGATGAGCCGATCAAGGAACTGTTCACTGATGTCGATTTTGCCAGAAAATACAATCTGATGAGCTTGAATTCGGTCAATTGGTCTAGGATTATGGTGCAGATTGCTCACCACTTCTATGCTTACTTTCAGTGCGCCCCATCCCTAGATACCACCCCACTGCCAGTGGTGGAAATTGTTGTGCCAACAGGAGGAGGAGGAAATATCACAGGTGAAGGGAAAAAAGATAGGTTAGATAGGGAAGAGAGAGAGTGCTGTGACCTGTGGACTAAAAGCACTTTGCAGATGCTGGGTATTGCTATTTATTAAAACACCCACTCTCTGGTAGGATTTCTTCAGAACCACTTATATTTTATTACTCATGTATGGTTATTACTCATTCAGGTGTCACTGATGATTTGCAAGGTGCAGAAAATCCTAAACCACCCTTTGATGATAACTGTAGCTATCTTGAGGACGGGCACATTAGAAGAGGACAAAATGTGTTTGATCCAGAAAAGAGGGAAAAATACTGTGGCTCTGATTTCCTAAGTGAGACATTAACAGAGGTGTGGAGTCCTGCCTGGTCCTATTCTTGTCTGCATGGTAGTGCGCAGTCAAGAGAACCACTCCTAATTGCATAATCTGGCTTTCTAAATGTGAGTCCTTGATTGCCTCCATCCCAAAATAGGTGTACAACTGTCTTATGAAAGCAATAAAGGATTTGATGCACTCAACTGCACTCACTGTATTTCCAGGCTGCCCATTTGAGGCAGCATTAGTAAGATGCAAGAGCCCAAAAGATTCATCTCTCTTGCTTGAATGGCAGCTGCCTGACCTCTCGGTCCCCTGCCCATCCATCTTCAAATCTGGAGATGCCCAAGGGTCAGTGTTCAAAGGACTGTCATGGCAGGAGGAGCATTGCGTCCCAGGATTTTATAATCTGGTGCTCGACCAAAGCATTAAAGATAGATATCTCAGAGTCCATTAGGGAATGTAATTTGTAGCTGCTTCTGACCTATATGCTCGATCAATTTGTACAGTGACTTCTTTGCTAAATCTCCTTTGAATGTTTCTTCATCAAGCATGCATGTATTTTTTCACTTTTTTCCTAGCTGGCTGCATTGCCCAGAAAATGGGTCTCCCGATTCGACTTGTTGCCGTGGTTAACAGCAATGACATCATTCATAGGACTGTTCAACATGGAGATTTCTCACTGTCAGAGAGTGTGAAGGCTACGTTAGCATCAGCCATGGATATTCAGGTATGAAATGAATTGCCCAAAATGGGAAAATACCAAATATTATATATTTTTATAATCCTTTTCCTTGTTCTACCTGGTTTATGAGAGCATAATTCTGCCACTGGCAATGCCTCTCAGCGATGCATTGAGAGGTGTGACTCATATGGAGCATTTAAGCTGCAGACTGCTCAGCTGAGATAGATCAAACACTTTCTTCCTCACTTTTCAGAGCTTGACTTTGTAATCTTCACCGTTAAATGCTGAGTTTCTGGGGTTTCATTATGTGCAAGGTTAGTAAGAGAAGGGCCTTCTTCTCAAAATGTGACACCTAGAAAATTATAAATCCCATCATGTCTCATCTCTCCTGTTGATGCTTCTGAAAGGCTCCACCAAAGGCAAGAGAAGAGACCAGGACGAAGGTAGGGAAGCCCAGAAGAAATGTCTCATCTATGGCCATCTGCAGCTTGCTCAGAGGAAAACAAGTCTCAGCAGGCAGGCAAAGGCCTCAGAAATGAAAAGTCATGGAGGTACAGAAACCAAACACCTGGAAGCAAATACCTCCCATTTCATACCTACCCTGTGATCCACAGGGATTGGATCTGCTTCCAAACAAGTGACCAAAGTGTGAAACACTTGGTGGTGTATCACCGTGGCCTTAAGCTACCTGGATTTTCCAAAAGCTGTTCAAACACATTGGGAACAACTGGGAGCCTGGAGGAACTACCATGCTTTGCAGTCAGCAAGTCATTATGGCCTTATCACCAGGCTGCTGTGGTCTGCAGCTTGACTTTCCTCCTGAGGCATGAATTTGTGGGGCTCCTCAGAGCTCAAGGGATAGCTGGGCTCCTCTCTTGGCCCGTGTCCCTTCAGTAGCACTGGTCTGCTGAGGCGCCCGAGCATGTGCCAGACTTTGGGATCATGAGGGAAGGCAGCCAGGCGAGGTGATGTCCAGAGATTCCCAAGGAGCTGGATAGGTCTGCACATCCCTCTCCACAGCTGCATGAGACATCATCATTCAGCTCACATCTGAAACATCCATGCAAATATTTCCATAGCTCAACAGATCATTCATGCTGGAGGGGAATTCAGGAGGTCTCTATTTGGGACCTGCTCAAAGCAGGGTCAGTCCTGAGGTCAGACCGGGTTGCTCAGGGCTTTGTCCAGTTGGGTGTTGGAAACCTTCAAGGATGGAGAGTGCCCAACCTCTTTAAGTTGCCTCTTCTGCAGACTAAGCTAAAGCAGAGAAAACTTTCCAGTTAAATGCTAACTGAAGAGCTGAAGGTGAAGCAGAAAGTCTAGCGTGGATGAGCCTTGTAAGGAGCAATCCCAGGAGAATCACAGCAGACTCTGTGTCTTCGCAGTACCTAGACCAGGGGCTGTTCTCTGGCCCTGAGGTCAGGAAGCACCATGCAGCTCATGTCCACATGACAAAACTTTCCTTGGGAACAGTCCCCAGCATGACCTGTCCTCCAAAATGGGCCTCAACGTACTCCTGGACAACTCCAGTGGCATGGGACAAAACCAGACCAGAGAGCTGGGTAATAACTTGAATGGCAAGGTCAGTGCTCGCACCAGTGTCCTGGCCGAGTTCAATTTACTGGTGTCAATGCAGTGATCTGTAGTGGAAACCATAAGGCTGGTACGAATGGAGGGTGAAGGGGAAGGTCTGGATGTGGGAGCAGCAGAAGGAAGGACAGGAGAAGGGGTGTCAGGAGGATGGTGCTGGAGGCACCTCCAGTAGCAGGTCATTGTAGTCCAGGCATGCTGACATGTAGCTTCTCAGGACAGCCAGGTTGGGAAGCAGAGGACAGCCTAAAACAGGGGACAGCCTAAAGCAAAGGGGAGGCTACGCCCAGATTAGACTGAAGATTACAAGCTGGAGGCTCTGGGAGATGATGGTGGGAAGATGAAGAACAGGACTGGGGCCATAAGCCACCCAGATAAGGACACGAAAGGCTGAGTAAGTCCCAATGACTCGCCAAGGTAGGACAGGATGGCGAGGCAAAAGGTCACAGGCACTGTCAGCTGCTAAAAGGTATAAAAAGCTGATCCAAAACCAGCACTTGAACCCAGGAGATGCGATGAGGACTCAGTAGTCGGTGCCCCTTGTCCTGTCTGTCCCTGCAAGGTATCTCGGCCAAACCACCTGGGTGAATGTTTCTCGGTGCTTGCGAGCGTGCAGGAATGAGACAGTGAGCGGTGAAATTGGTTTGGGACCCTCCTTGCACCGAGTTTTGCTGCAGTGTTGCAACACCGATTGCTACATAGCCACATAGGCCAGTCAGGCCGTATACGTGCCTTATATGTTCATAAAGATTATCGGTCAGCCCTGCAGGGACCTGGGTGTCTCATTAAGTCACACGGGAGCTGGGTGACTCACAGCAGCATCTGCAACACTGAGTAAACAGCTGGATATTTAAGGTTCTCAAATATGTAGTGTGTTATTAGCCTGGGTTCCTCAAGGTGATTATACAGATGTGGTCACACCGTCGATTTATCAGTTATCCCTTCGTTAAGTTTTTTTAATCTGACGGTCACTGCCAGACTGCTCTGACAGGTCAGAGGTCTGAAGGACGTTGGGTTCCCAAAGACTTGTCTTGGGATGTAGGTGTGCAGGGGGAAGACACAAAGCCCACCCCAGCCTCCACCAAAAGAAAGGCGGCAGTAGGACCTCAACCCTAATTAGACATCAGAGAATCCACACAGGTGCTCTCCCCCCCGAGACAGATGCTCGAATTTCTGCTGCTCACCTATTGCCTTGTTATCCCAGGAGCCTTACAACATGGAGAGAATCCTCTGGCTGCTCTCGGGCTCCGACGGCCACCTGACGAAAACGCTGATGGAGCGATTCAGCGCGTCGAAAAGCCTTAAGCTGCCGGAGGATTTGCACAGAAAGGTCAGTTCCTCACGCACGCGGTGCCGTGTGTGTGTCTGTAAGGAGATTTACCGCTACCAGTTGTTTTCAACTCATTTTCAGAATAAAAAAATCATAGTGGAGAGCTTCCAACCAAAAATTTAAGCATGAGGCCAGAGGAGTTTTATATCGGTGTGTGTGCAGAGGGGTGTTAAAAACCACTTTTTAATTATTTTTTTTAAAAAGAAACCTCTTACTTCTTTGCAAAACTGATTAAAAACTGCCTACAATTATTTAAGTAGAATATGCAACCACCCCTTCCCTGGCCACTCCAGTGCCAGCATGGTGCAGCAGGTGCTGGCACAAACCGAGCGTGGCTTTTGGGAGTGCATCTGCTGGGTTCAGTGCTGCAATTCAGCCTCGGTGTTGTGGCAAATGAGAGCACGAACACAAAGCGGAGACAAATACAAGAGAACATGAAACGTTTGTGTTGTGAGGCTCTTTGGGCCAGATGCAAAGTCCTGCCTCTTCCCAGCCGACACACGCTGTCCCCCACTGAGCATCCTTTGCCCAGCGCCCGCTCCTGCTTGCACAGCAGCAAAATAAATAATTAAAAAATACACTATCAAAAGAAAGAAGAGCTGTTACACTGAGGTGGGTTTTACAAGCCCTCAGAAAGTCCCTCAGAGCATGCAAATAGCAGTGCAGAGCTGAGGAGCTGAGTCTCGGCTCCTCTCCACCCACGATCCCAGCACCTGGGGATGGAAACCCCTCGCTCGTGCCCCAGCCCCGCGGCCATTTGCAGCAGTGCCTCATCCCCTGGCTGCAGCGGCAACCCCTTTTCCTTCAGTCCCTGGGGAGCCCCATCCTCCAGACTCCCTGTTTCGAGCTGCTTTGCTGAGTGCCCGTGGCACAAGCCCAGCTGGGAACGCGTGGGGTGGTGATGCCCTGTGCAAACCTCCCCGTTTTCCCCGGGGCCGCAGCTCTCTGAGACCCTGCACTCGTGCTCGGCCTCCGATGAGGACATCGTGCGAGCCATGCAGCGCTGCTGGAAGGAGAACTGCTACCCGCTGTGCCCCCACTCTGCCGTGGCTGCTCACTACCACTACTTGCAGACGGACGGGTAAGGACAGCTGTAGTCGGGAGCATTGGGGACTGGAGCATCACGTCTCCCTTTGCTCCTGCAACATCTCCAGTTCAGGGCTTGCCTACGTCAAAAGTCTTCTTGCTTTTCTTTCCTTTTCAGCACGCCCCGGTGTTGCTTAGCTCCAGCCTCTGCAGCCAAATTTCAGGACGCCCTGCTCCGAGCTGGCCTGGTTCCCCAGCTTCCCCCCGAAATCGCTGCCTTAACGGCAATGGAGGCCAGGTCCACTCCCCTGGAGCAGGGGCAGGACTGGACACAAACACTCCGGGAGTGGATCGAAGCCACGGCACAGCGGCGGGGGATCGCCGGCCAGGGAGTCATGCAGACCTGAGCTACCGGAGCACGGCTGGCCGATGCCTCCCGTGGCTCATTTTCCATTCCCAGGGGAGCCCTGTGTTACGCTGGGAGAGGAGCCTATGGTCTCTGTGCAATGAATTATTAGCAGGAACACACTTTGCCGTTGAATTATATAGAATATTTCATAACATTTTCAGTAAAGAGCTCTGCAATTGTATCCTCTTTTCCCTAGAAATTCATAAAAACTGATTGAAACTCTGAATAAACCCACCTGTTCCATCATTACATGCTATTACAGAAAGCTCCCTCAGCACTACTCACAGTCGCCAGCTTCCTGGGCATTATCCAGCGATTCTGGCCCCGTGCTGGGATGTTCAGCCCAGCGGTCCCAGCAGCACCCGAGATGCTCAATGGGAAAATTAGGCAGGGCTGGAGTGGATCCGCTTTCCCCATCCCCATAATTTAAGCAGTGCCAGGGATCATTCCCAGGCATCAAAACTCGCTCAGTGATAGTGTCAAAAAGTGGATGTTTTCCCTGGATGTGTTTATTTTAAGGAGCTACTTCCCAGTGCCGTATCTCACAGCTTTTGGTCCTAGTCCTGCTGCAGACTCTTCCTGGGCAACTTCCACTGAAACAAATAGGAAATGGGAAATTCCCCTTATCTTCAGCCTGAAACTTCAGGTCTTTCAATACCACGTTCCCATCATAAACATATAAATATATAAATACCTCGTGTGGGAGCTGCCTCCACAAGTCATGCATCTGGCAGGAATCTCTTGTGCCTAAAAAGGGGGAAAAAAAATAGGAATAATTACACCGGGGGGGAAAATCCCCCTTTGCCATCAAAAAAAATTCCCCCTTTGACATCAAAGGAAGTCCCATAATGGGAGGATTAATTTGAAGGTTTAGTGGCATTTAGCAGGGTAAAAGTAAATTCTGTGAAGTGAATCAGTATGGGATGTTGCAGAATGTGTGGGAAGAGTGGGAAGCTTTGCCTGGGCTGCAGAACGCCTTGCTGGCACTTGGGAAGTCTTTTCCTCGTCTGCCCCTGGCGCAGCCGGCCCCGTGCCACCTCCTTCCATCCCACCAAAACCGTGCAGGAGAGGAGGGACCCGCACCTCCTCCGAGGCAGGGGCCGAGGCTGCCCCATCCCAATTAACGGGGGTGAGGGAAACACCTTAGTTGAAAATGATGCAAAAAACCACAGTGCTTGGATGCTGGATGTTTTTAATGCTAACAGCTCTGCTAGTTGCATGGATCGAGCGGTTGGGAGAAAAATGGTGGGGTCCAGGGAAGCTCTGATGCTTCATGAGGCCATCATTCACCCCTCTTTAAGAGCCAAACCAGCCAGCAAAATACCTCTTATTTAAGCAACAACGCAGCCTTGTCCTCAGAAATAACCTTGCCCCAAAGGATGGCTTTGTACCGGGGGTTGATGCAGCAAGTCACTCGTGGTGCTGGTGAGAAACCCTCCCCAATCCCATTTGACCCCCGCTGTTGGCTGCCCCTCTCGTTGATGCACACGTTACGCTTGTTGGACTCCACCGCCTTTAATAGCTGCCTCCCCAAAACTTGCGGTTCTCGGCCAGGGATGGCTGCCTGGTTGTAATTTAGCTCTTAATCATAGCTTAAGACACCCCGTGACGGGGGAGAGGCCTGAAATTGCACCCAGCTCCCCATCCAAGCGAGAGGTTGCAAATCCAGCTTGCTGGCCGGGACTGGAGCAGGAGGGGAGGGCGGGAGGGCGAGGGGCCGGACCCGGACCCGGATCCCCGGCCGGAGAGCACCAGGAAGGACAGGGCGAGGGGTGTTGGGCTTGCAGCCAGCCAAAGCGCTGGTGTGTTTTGCAAGCAGAAAACATGGCACAGCATAGCAAATACATCCCCACGCTCCCGTCTCGAAGCAGCCAGGTGGGTAAAGGCTCCAGCCTCGCTGCAGGAAGGCAGCAGACGATGCCCATGCGGGGTGAAAAGGTGTTTAATTCTCAAACATCCCTGAGGATACCCCTATGGGGTGAAGGTGCTGCTTCTCCCCCAGTCAAAACCAGATGTTTTTCGGGCAGGACACTACGAAACCTCTCTCTGGGATTTCCGGGGCAGAAATGTAGCAGGAAAAGCCTGTTTCACGCCCGGAGCTGAGGTGGAGGGAGCACAGATGGGCTCGGCTTGCAGGGCGGCCGTGCTCCCACCGAGGGCAATGCAGGGCAGCCCGTGGCAGCCCAGGTGCCTGGGATGCGGGCATGAACCTGGCCTCGTGGGCATGCCGTGTCCCACTGCCTGCGCGGGGACAGTGGCATCCCTGGCTGCTCCCACACTGGGGGCTTTCACTCCCACTTTGGTCCCAAGATGGGTGCTCGGGGCTCTGCTTGCTCCTCCTCAGGTCTCTGTCTGAGAGGGAGGATCAGCTTTGTTTGATGGAAAAATGGAAAACACAGAGAGGAAAGTCGTGCAGAAAGGCGGTACCTCCTTGCCCAACGCTTTGATGGGCAGCTGCAAGCTCTGGCAGCTTGACGTGTTTACGGCGTTGATGATATATTACTTCTGCACCTTCTAGAGCTGTTCAGGCCAGACTTGTGAAACAATTCATCTCATACATCAACTGAGCACGCTTTTTCCCAGCAAAAACTCCAGTTTCAGGCTCCTCACCCCGAGCAGAGCCGACCCACGCATTCTAGGAGACAGCATTGTCCATGAGCCAGGGGCCATCCTCTGCAAGGGCTCTGTGCCTTGTCAGGGATGTTCCTGTGGAGGTTGCGACACCCTTCACACTGAGGGACATGGCTGGGACATGCTCCTAACCCCTAAGTACCTCAACTAAGAAGTATTGTATTGGGATGGAGATGCAATGTGTTGGGATGGAAATGCAGTGTATTGAGATAGAGGAATAGGGTCCTCCATGGTTCAGCTGGAGGTTTCTACCCAGGAGCTCACACGTACCAAAGCATCTTGCTGTCCTGTAGGAATTTGTTGGTGTGTCCAATATGGGATTGGGGCTCTTGTCCCAGCGTGGGTTGGGATCTGTCTGGCTACACATGGGGTCTACCCTTTAAGCCGTCTGCCTCTGAGCTAGCGGTTGTTGCCTGGCATTACACCCCGCGGAGACATCAGCAGCAGAGCCACACTGTGGTTCATTGCTCCAACCATTACCAGTGCCATTAAGAGTGCTGTTAATTAAAGGGAGACATGGGATGACCGGCTGTCTGCAGTGCTGGCTGAGCTAAAATTCAGGGGGATAATACAAATCCCCAGTGGGCTGCGGGTGAGGATGCTATTTCCCACGAGCAGAGCAGTCCAGCCTTCCCCCGTGCTTTGCCACGATGTCCATCCCCATCTTCCAACTCGTGGCCGCCCACCCCATCCCTCCCACCCAAGGAACTGATTTTGGGGCATTTCCTCTGCTGACGGGGGTGTCACATCCTTCTGCTCCAGCGTTACCTTTATGGGCTGGGAGGAGGAGTCTGCAGCGTGGTGAATTATAAACCAATTCTTTAAGACAGTATTCTGAAGGTTTGGGAGTTGAATTATTATTTATAATGCCCTGAGGGCACCATGTAATTTATGGACAGGTATGAAGACAAGTAGGCGCTCAGACATGGGGATGAGCCCAGTGTAAATGCCGAGATAGAATGGTAGATAGATGGATAGATGAAGATAAGCTTCTTGGCCAGGAGAGCTGGAGATTGAAAAGCCTGCTTTTATAGATCTCTGCTGTCCTAGGGTAATACCTACTATCCCAGTACTCCCTCTCCATATAAAGTCATCTCAAATCTGGTGCAAATGGTTTGTTTACTCTTTTTTTAAATTAATTTACCCAAGTGCAAGGAAAAAAAAAAAAAGGGAGTTGCTTTGTTGTTGCAATTTGCTGCTAGGCATTCCTATATGTGCTAATGATAAGTATTAATTAAATAGCTTGCTGTTGTCTTTTAAATGCAGTTCTTTCAGGCTGTAATTAAACACAGACACCCAGCCCTTTCTGTCTGCATAGAAAGAGGCAGGCAGGCCTCCGGAGCTCTGCACTTCTTTCCTTGTAGCAGGAGAGAAGTGGAAAATGAGGCAAAACCAGTTTCCACTGAAAACTCACCACCCTGTGCATGTCCTTCACGGGGAAAGCAACCAGCTCAAGGAAATTAAAGGAATGCGACTTCCAAGATCCCAGCCCTGCAATCAAAGTAAGTTTATATGCCCTTAAGATTTTGCAGCTTCATACATTTTAAAGGCAGAGGAGATCATTTTGTTTGATCTCCGGTGCAACACAGCCTGGGCTCTGCCGCGTTCATCGAGCCCAGCAACTTGTTTGCTTATGAACATCTTGATCTGAAGATCTAGAGATAGGAGTCCATCCCTCTCACTTGCTTCTTAGTTTCTCCAGGTTTTTTTCACCCTTACCGTGAAAAACCAGGCCCTGCTGTAAATCCCTGTCCCTATGCTGCTCCCGTGGTCAATATTAATCTCCCAGTGCAGGGTGCCCTTCCTGGGAAAACCTGGGCTCCCACCAGCCCTGCTGCCCTCTCACCTCCCCGCCTTCAAACAGAAACTCAGCACTAAAGCCCTCTAGAAATGCAAATAAAAAAGTCAGATGTTCACGTGATGGAAGGCAACCCCCAAATAAAATTTGCCGTATACCGAATGGCACCTATACCCGACGTCATTCCTGCCCTCCAAGGCAACTGGGCTTCACTTCTCTAAAGTGCTGCTGTTAATCAATAAATACATGAAGTGACACTGGCTGTCTGCTGTATCACTTATAAGAGTGGTGGGGGAAGATGCCGCTCACTTGGAGGATGCCCTGGTCAGAGCTGGACCGTGAGACACAGGTCTCCCTCCCGCAGCCGCTGCGGGGAGCGTGGGAGGGAGGAGAGGAGGCGCGGGGGGAACGGAGCCAGCTCCTGCCGGTCACCCCAAATCCACACGTCAGCCTGTAGCTGAACGCCCTACTCGACAGACAGTGACAGTGAAGAGCTTCACCGTGGTGAAGACAGTGTGTTCAACAGCTGCACATATATATTTTTTTGAATGGAAACATTTAAGGATCCATTTGTGTAATTTATAACCTGAGATCTGTAGAGTATGTTTAATAAATATACAGAGAATATAAGACAGCTGCATTGCCTGCCTGTGAAGGGGTCCCCCATTTGGCACAGCGCAGCCCTTTGGGCACCCCGAACGATGCTCCTCCACCTTGATGGCTCCCCACCCTTTCCAGAAAACAGCCATGGCCCTTTTGGGGTCCTATTGACCCAGGACTGGATT